TACCACCACCACCACCACCACCCTACACACACCACCACCACTACCACCACCACCCACCACCACCACCACCACCACCACCACCTCCACCACCACTACCACCACCACCACCACCACCACCACCACTCCACCACCACTACCACCACCACCACCACCACCACCACCACCACCACCTCCACCACCACCACTACCACCACCACTACCACACCACCTCCACACCACCACCACCACCACCACCACCACCACCACCACCACCACCACCACCACCACTACCACCTCCACCACCACCCACTACCACCACCACCACCACCACTACCACCACCCACCACTACCACCTCCACCACCACCACCACCACCACCACCACCACCACTACCACCTCCACCACCACCACTACCACCTCCACCACCACTACCACCTCACCACCACTACAGTGTCTCTTTCTGTTGTTTTTTTTCGTTTGTGTGTGTGTTGTATCTTAATAATGTATGTATGTATGTATGTATGTATGTATCCTCGCCTCGCAAGTGAGTGATCAGGGTTTCATTGGGCAGGGTGAAACTATGGGCGGTTTTTTCACGCCATTTGCCTCTGTCTACCCAGCATGGTAGGGACCTGGATGTTAATCGATTTACGGATCGTGTTCGGGGTAATGGTTAGCCAGTGCAGTTGGTGAGTTGTCCGGTCTTCTCGGACTATTCCTTGACACTGGGTTATGCAGCTCGTTAACTCAGGGTGTGGTTGTGTGTTGGTGACAGCTTCACGCATACAAGCTTACTGGGTCATGCAGCTCGTTAACTCAGGGTGTGGTTGTTGTGTTGGTGACGCTTCGTACCTTAAACACTGGGTCATGCAGCTCGTTAACTCAGGGTGTAGTTTGTTTGACTGTTGGTGACAACTTCTACACACTGTAAACGCTGGGTCATGCAGCTCGTTAACTCAGGGTGGTTGGCGTGTGGCGTGGCTACCGCATAGCGCGCGGTTAAACCAGTGCAACTCAGGGTGTGGTTGTTGTGTTGGTGACATATTCTACACCTTAAACACTGGGTCATGCAACTCGTTATCTTAGGGTGTGGTTGTTGTGTTGGTGACAGCTTCTACACCTTAAACACTGGGTCATGCAACTCGTTAACTTAGGATGTGGTTGTTGTGTTGGTGACAGCTTCTACACCTTAAACACTGAGTCATGCAACTCGTTAACTTAGGGTGTGTGGTTGTTGTGTTGGCGACAGCTTCTACACCTTAAACACTGGGTCATGCAACTCGTTATCTTAGGTGTGGTTGTTGTGTTGGTAACAGCTTTCACACCTTTAAACACTGGGTCATGCAACTCATTAACTCAGGGTGTGGTTGTTGTGTTGGCGACAGCTTCTACACCTTAAACACTGGGTCATGCAGCTCGTTAACTCAGGGTGTGGTTGTTGTGTTGGTGACAGCTTTTACACCTTAAACACTGGGTCATGCAACTCATTAACTCAGGGTGTGGTTGTTGTGTTGGCGACAGCTTCTACACCTTAAACACTGGGTCATGCAGCTCGTTAACTCAGGGTGTGGTTGCTGTGTTGGCGACAGCTTCTACACCTTAAACACTGGGTCATGCAACTCGTTAACTCAGGGTGTGGTTGTTGTGTTGGAGACAGCTTCTACACCATAAACACTGGGTCATGCAACTCGTTAACTCAGGGTGTGGTTGTTGTGTTGGAGACAGCTTCTACACCATAAACACTGGGTCATGCAGCTCGTTAACTCAGGGTGTGGCGTTGTGTTGGCGACAGCTTCTACACCTTAAACACTGGGTCATGCAACTCGTTATCTTAGGGTGTGGTTGTTGTGTTGGCGACAGCTTCTACACCTTAAACACTGGGTCATGCAGCTCGTTAACTTAGGGTGTGGTTGTGGTGTTGGCGACAGCTTCTCCACCTTAAACAGTGGGTCATGCAGCTCGTTAACTTAGGGTGTGGTTGTTGTGCTGGCGACAGCTTCTACACCTTAAACACTGGGTCATGCAGCTCGTTAACTTAGTGTGTGGTTGTTGTGCTGGCGACAGCTTCTACACCTTAAACACTGGGTCATGCAGCTCGTTAACTTAGGGTGTGGTTGTTGTGCTGGCGACAGCTTCTACACCTGAAACAGTGGGTCATGCAGCTCGTTAACTTAGGGTGTGGTTGTTGTGTTGGTAACAGCTTCTACACCTGAAACAGTGGGTCAGCAAATCCCGTTATCTTAGGGGTGTGGTTGTTGTGTTGGCGACAGCTTCTACAACTTAAACACTGGGTCATGCAACTCGTTAACTTAGGGTGTGGTTGTTGTGTTGGCGACAGCTTCTACACCTTCAACACTGGGTCATGCAACTCGTTAACTTAGGGTGTGGTCGTTGTGTTGGTGACAGCTTCTACACCCTAAACACTGGGTCATGCAGCTCGTTAACTCAGGGTGTGGTTGTTGTGTTGGCGACAGCTTCTACACCTTAAACACTGGGTCATGCAACTCGTTAACTTAGGGTGT